ATTGGGTTGTTAGAGAAGGGCTTCAAAATGAATGCTTGAAAATATGATTGAAGAACTATTCATATATGCTTGCTAAATTAACAAATTGCAGCTTTTCAATAGTTTGCATTCTTGACTGAATTTAAAGGAACAGTGTGCTGTCGTTTCAGATGAATGCCACAATATAGATGCTGTTTCTAGAATTCTGAACTGTAAAGTGCTGGGTTCTCGGTAGTCATATAAAACTGTGCTATTTAGCTGAACAAGGGTGGAAAGAAGAAGGTGTTTGGCTCACTATGCCTAGATCCAAGGTCCAAGTCTATATATTCCCTCTTTTGAGCAAATGGATATAGAGGAGCTCTTGCCTTGGTTTCCATCTCCATGATTTACCAGTCAGAGTAGCTGACTGCAGGTGATTGGGAAATTAACTTGTGTCCTTGCAATAACTATAGTAATTTATTCTCATATTCAGGAAGCATCTGTGTATCCCAGCTCAGATATTTAAAATGTGTGGACCAATCTTCCCTTTTCAGAGATGAGCCGGATTTGGCCCAGATGCACGTAGTGTGGTACTGACAACTTCTTACATGACTGTTAAGTGACAGACACTGGCCTGTCTTGTTCTAACTTGTGAGAGATCGTATACTCTCTTTCTTCTCAATGCTGTCAGTGTGGCAATCTCCCTGTGCTTCAGTGAAGTGAAAGGGATTGGTTGTCAGGTCCCTTTTATCTTCTCATTCTTCCTCTTCTTTGATCTGAATTCTACTTCTCCAGTTTTAGACTACATTTGCTTCGTTCCCTGCCTATACTTTAAGAGCCCCTAAAGTAAAGAGTAGTACAGCTGAAATTCTTAGCAGGTAGGTTACTTCATAACATTAGTCTAGGGGCTTCTCTGAGATAAATTGTCATCTTGACCTGTCATCTGCCAAAATTGAGGCTGTCTTGTTGCTCTGTTTGTAGAGCGCCCAGCAGAATGAGGTTCGAAGTCCATGCCTGGGGCACATAGGTACTAACACAATATTGTTAAACTGCTTCTGAATCTCAACAAATACTTTTCAGTTTGTCCAACATCTGACATGGAACCCAAATAGCTTGGAATCTAAGTCCTTCCTCTAATGTTAGACCTCAGAATGGATGACAACTTACTATTGCCACTATTTACTCCATTAGTTCAAGTGGCTGAAGTCCGGGCAGTGGATCTAAAGGTACCAACCTGGCTGGTCACCTATGCCAGATTTGATAGTAATGAGTGTCATAGAAAAAAGCCCCTGAGGAAACTAATAATACCACCCAAAGAGCAAGAGTGAGAGTAAGCAAGTAAAGTAGGCATGAGGCCTCACACCAGATAATAAGGAGAAAACAAAATATTGAATAGTTCCTCATTAAGTGAGCACTAAGCAGGGGTGGGCAATTATTTCAGGTGGAGGGCCACTTACTGAGTTTTGGCAAGCCATCGAGGGCCACATGATAGGCAGCCAGGGGCAGATAAATATTATTTTTCTAAATTTTTAGGGGCCCCGCAGGCTGGATAGAATGACTTGGTGGGCTGCGTCTGGCTCCCAGGCTGCATTTTGCCTACCCCTGTACTAAAGAGAGGAACAGTCTGATGGAAAGAAATAATACGAACAGTACGATGATTTAATTAAACATTATATCATAATACACATGTACAAAGAAGCTGATTTAAGGCTTCCCCGATATGCATAATTCTAGTGTTTGCTAACTTTTGAGGGCTTGACTAAACAACCTGCAGAATTTTTCAACATTGTTTTTATGTATGCAATACTAATAGAAGACGAATCTTGATGCCATCTTCTTGTGTGTACTATAAATCATAACAATACTTATGTCAAAATTAGGGCTGTGCGAAATGGCACCATTTCATTTTGACTTCCATTTCAATGTTTTGGTAGGACAGGGTTTCATTTAGTTTTGAAGCACTGTTCCGTTTTGTTTCGTCGAAACTCTTTCGCTGTTTCAACACTGTTTTGACATTTTGCCCATAGGCTATAATGGAGAAGTGCAAAACTGCCTATAACTTTCTGGGAAACTTCACCTCAAATTCTTGAAAGCAAAACCCTTGTCACTTGTAAGTGTGAAGACGCAGGGGGATGGAAACTGCAGGGATGGTAGCTCCTGCTGAGGCCACAAAGCCTGCCAAGTGTCAAGGAGATAGGTGCAGGGGTTTCTGGGAAACTGCACCTCAAGCTGATGACAAGCAAAACTCATGACACGTGACTATATGTGTGTATTACGGCGCAGCTGTTTTTCCATCCCTGCATTGGAAGGGACCTCAGGGAAAGATCACAGTCACTGGCTAGCTACACAGTCAATATGAGAGCAGTCCTTCCCTGCTTTTCCCCCTCCCTCTCCTTACTTTCTGTTTCCCTGCAAGCAAGCCCAGCTTCAAAACTAGTCAAAATTATTCATTGAAGCACAAGAGTAGATAATTAAGACTTTGTGTATGTACAACTATAAGGTATCTTACTCCTATTATGAGTCAGTCTCTGCATGTGTCAGTGGAAGGTCTATTATGTGGACGTGTCAGTAGAAGGTCAATTTTGATTTTAGTTTAACATAAAATGCCCCAAATTATATTACTCTGACTATTAGGAGTCTCCAACTGAATTTTGCAGTGAAACAGAGAGTATACTGTATTGCTGAATGAATATATTTTGCCTGCAAATGGTCTGAACTCCTATGTTCTCAGTCTAGAGCAATATCAAGAGTCACTGACTGAAATAAAATATCTGGCTGCTAGGAATGGAAAACACAGCTTCCTTTTCTCTTTCTTCTGAAAAATAAATATTACTTTGTTCAAATCCTTCATGTGTTCAGTATTATTACACTGCAGTTCATGTGAATTTCTTCTGAATTTTCACTATCATGGGTCATTTCTTTTCTCCATTATGTACATATTCAGAATACCTGAAACCCCTTGGGTGCATTTAAACATTTTATAACATTTCTTGAACATAAAAGACAAACTTAAGTTTGCTGCTGGTTTTTGAAACCCATCTGTTTAGAGACCATGCCTACCTACATGGATGTGCTTGTGCACTTAGGTTAGACATCGTATGACATTAATTGATACCGACTGGCTGCCATATTTTATTAGTATCCCTTAAGGTAATCATTAACACAAACTAGAATTGTTTTTAAATGTTAACACTTATCAAAATTGTGGTTAGGAAACGAGGTTAACTGCACCTGCTCTGTATATTTGTAGTGGTCAGATCCATATTGCTGAGGAAATAAAACTTAATAGAACTCTATAATTTTAAAACCAATATAAGGGTGACACTGTTTCTATGGAACATGGATATATATAAGCGCAACTTAGCTGTCAAAAAGCCCTGTTGAAAACAAATGATATAAAATAGGCATTTCTGTTTAAATTCAAATTCAAGTTCAAATATGTATCAGGCTTTTATTCACCTTGTATTCATTTTATTCCATATTTTATTGGAATAAGCTCAGTAAACTTCAAAACGTTTTGCAAATTAAGGGTGAAATACAGTTCATCAGGAATATGTTAAATGCAGTGAACTGCACATTGAGGAGCACCTCCAAAATCCAGACCCACTCAATTAAGTTGCTACTTACTTACCATAGTAAAAAATATATTTCTGATGCTAGTCAGACCATGCACAGACACAAATGGGAAGGAAGATGCACTATGCACAAAGGAGAGTTATATACTTTCCCATAGACATATTCATGAGCAGCTCTTCAACTGGCATAAATTGTCATCATCCCAGCTACTTCAGCTATTCTGACTATTATGCCAACTGAGTTTCTTCTCCATGGACTTCTCACCAACATTTGGCTTTGTAGGGGTAATGGCAGTGTTACAATAAGTGTGCAGGATTATCCATTTATCAGCAAAATGTCTATCTTGTATGTCAAGGCTAAGGAACTGAAAAAATCATGTTCAACCACCTCTATTCCAAGCCTACAGCCATGCCTTTCCTTTAGGATCATAGGAAAGTAAGGCTAGAGAGGAACTCACAAGGTCATCTAGTCCATTCCACCACTCCAGGCATGATATAATCAAGATAATCTCTGACTATGCCATCCCGGTGAAGTGTCTGTCTAATCTGTTCTTGATAACTTCCAAGGATGGAGAGAGTCCACAGTTTCTTTAGGTAACCTGTTCCAATGCCTGCCCACCCTTATATGCAGAAAGTTCCTCCTAATCTCCAACCTCAATTTCCTCTGCTGTATCTTGAGGTCACTGCTCCTAGTCCTGTCCCCTGTGGCTACAGAGAAAAGCCCATTTCCATCCCCTCTGTAATTGCCCTTCAGGTATTTGAAGACTCTTATTGAATCATCCCTTGTTCCTAAATTAAACAGATCCTGAATCAATAAACCATTTCAAATCTTGTTTACTGAAATGTTTAAATGCCTTGCTGGTGCCAACAAATGAATTCATAGATTTCATTGTCACAGAGGATTATCTAGTTTGTCCTCCTGCACAGTGCAAGACAGAGAATTGTACCCAAAATTAAAGCTCTAAATCTCTATCCAGCAGCTACATTGCTACAAGTAGGTTTCTGAGCCTACACTGAGGCATCTACCAATGCAGAGGTATTTTTAGGTCTAAGGGATTAAGAGACAGGACATACGTTCAGGAAGAAACTGGTCATGATCAAACTGAGATAACACATGTCATGGAGTTCTTGGTCCTACTCCATGCCATCTAGCTGTTTTTCTGTTTCATTAACTAACCTAACCTAACTCCCATGCGGGACTTTTCTGTGTTCCTTATCATGTGACATGTCATCCCAAGCATGATTTGGCTTTATGCATTGCCATTGGAACCATGCTGCATTAGGATTACAAAGGTGCACTGGGTCATTGAAAATGTATATAATTAAGAGTTAGCATCCTGAGAACTCTTAGAGAAATGTGACATATTAAATATCTCATTTGGGTACATCTTTACATATTCTCAGCTACCTTCAGAATTCCAGAATCTGTTTTTTTTAATCTCACCTCTTTTTTTTTAAACTCTCTAGCTCTTGTTACAAGGCACAAATCCTGGTATCTCTTGGGAATACACATTTCCCAAAGCCATCAGTGAGAACAAGACATCTGCCAAGAAACACAGCTACTCCTGGGTGACGATACAGTCAGAGTGCTCAACTGCATGTGGTGGAGGTAGGCAATTTTCCTATTTCCAGTCTTGTGTACCTCCTTGTCAAGGCATCTCCCCATAGTCCAGCTCCCTTTAATATGACTATGGTCTATATGAGCATGTATAAGAGGTGTTTATTATCTAACAACAATTATTAAACAAACAAAATATCTAACTTCCTTTATCTTAGAATTTTCTCATTTTGTCCACAATTCAGGAAAGCATTCAAGTTGGTGATTCAGCCCAACTTGTTCAGGCCAACACTTAAGCAATAATTAGATTCCTTTGAAGACATAGTACACAAGATGTGCTATATTACTGTCCAGATAACAGCTCTTAGAAAGGAAATGATAAAGGAGCTAAGAAGTAGCATAGAGGTAAAATTTATAGCAGAGTACTTAGAGAAATAAGTTACATTATGCTTAGGATGACAGAAACAGCTAGAAATGCTCTCGTATTGCCTGTCTGACTTGTCTTTGTTGTATCTATGGACTGCACGTGATGTAAATAACATAGTACTGGGCATGTCTACACATGCATTTATGCTGGCTTAAATTTACTGCTCGGTAAATTACTGCACAGTATGCAGTATGCATGCAGGCATTAAAGCATATTAACGCTGTGTGTGGACTGACTTGGGACTAAAGTTAGTCCCAAGTCAGTCCACACACACAGTGTTACTGTGCAGTACGGTATCTACATGTGTGTTACTGTGGAGTAACTAATCAGGCATAAATTTGATACCTGCATGATGCTATTCACTCAAGTCAGTATAAATTACCATATTTATTGCACAGTATGGATGTGAACGTGTAGATATGTGCGGTTACTCCACAGTAAATGCTCATGTATAGACGTGCCCACTGTAAAGAAAAATAAGTAAATCCATGGAGTCACTCACTGTTTTTAAATCATTTGCAGCCCTTACTGAATTCAGTGGACTATCTTTACATGGAAAGAGGCAGACTATCCCATAGCAAGTTCCAGCAGGATTACTTGTGTGAAATAGAGCAAGGAGGATTTGGCTCAGAATACGGACGCTTATGATCAAGAGACTACGGCTCACTTACATGTTTACCATAATGTGTCAGGACTAATTCCTTGATTGCAAAAGCCCTGACATCCAGAAACACTGAAGGTTCAGATAAATGCAGTTTTTGTCTGATTAAATCTTAATCTGATAAACTCACAGGCACTATTCCCACATGTCTTTTTCCATGATTCAAACTAGATATGCACCAGTCAAAGCAACCTCAAACAGGCTAAGGATAGCTATAGAGACAGAGACTAAACAAGGTGACAAACATTTTGCCAGGTTTTAACTACATGGAAAAGGCTCTTTGAAAGCCTGCCTGGATCCTACAGGTAGCTTGACATGTTATTGGTTTTGACCCAGTGATTCTGCTATACTGCCACACTGTGCAAATACACTGTGTAGATCAATATGTTAAAGGTGAGTTCAGTGGTAGCCATAGCATTTGCATTGCATAAGAGGAAGCTAATGTTAAGAATAAGCTACCAAATTTTCTCCTACTGTAATTCCACGTAAGTCAATGAAATTGCATCAACAATGAATTTGAGCTGTGTACTGCAGTTTCAAATACTGTACTAACACACTGTTTCTCCTTTTATTTAGAAGTTGGGTTATACTTAGTTTTATTTTTTGCTGGTATCTCCATAGGGCACTTTACAGCAAAAACACTTTGTTTACAAGACCATCACATGCGTGTGAATTCCTCTTTCTGTGACCCAAGGACAAAGCCTGTGACGGAAACAAAACTGTGCAATACTAACCCCTGCCCAGCATAGTAAGTGGTGCTTATTCTTATACCATTTTTGCTATCGTCTTTGTATTTGTTGAGGAATAAGTTCAGTATTAACCTGCATTCTTAGGAGTATTTTGTGCCATGTATCAGTGATGTGACTGATTTCAAACCACACTGATTTCTCTAGGAAAGTAAGGGAATAATGATTGTGTTGTATAGGCTTCCGGCACAGCAGTAGCAAATGGAGGTAGGGAGGATGAGTGATTAGAATGGGGTTTGGGGAGCTTCGCCTTTCTGTGAAGCTTCATGATTGATTATTACCCCAAACAAAAAATACTACATATATTACACCAGTAAGAAGCACATTTAAGCCAAACAGAGAAAATGCCAACAGCATGGTCAGTACTGTATGAGATGCAGCCGAACATAGGCGGCCATTGATTCAAGGATCTAATTGTTTAGAAGACATAAACACCTAAGTTGAAATGCTAACATAAAAATGAGGGCAGATCGCCTGTTATTTTCCCTGCTTACGCCTGTGAGAGTGAGAATCTCTGATTTGCAAACATCTTATTTATCATAATGGCTGAGAGGAAAATAGCACACTCACTGAAATTTAATGGGCTATTTTCCTCTATCCAGGAATAATCTGGTGAGATAAATCTAAGAGATTTGTGCACTGTGTAATAGTCTGGGTTATAGTTAAAACCTATGGCTTCAAATACATTTAACATGCTTAAAAATGATCCAATAATGGTTTGAAATTTCCTGCAAAATTTAGAAATTACAACACAGGACATAAAATCCAAATGGCAAATTATAGAGTAGGGCCTCAAAAAGATAGAAATAAGATTGAAGTAGTGGCAATGTGACACATGAGCGCTCCTTGTGCCTGCTTCAGCAGTTTTTTTGGATTGCCTTTGGCCACACTATTGTCTGAATACTAATTTTAAGTGATCTTTGTAGCCAAACACAGCCTGTTTGTGTATGATTTATCTGTTGCCAAATGTATTTTTATCCAATGGGCTCAATTTGGTGTAGACAGAAAAGCAATCTGTGATGCTTCCAGGATTCTTTGCTAGCTGTTTATATTTTCCTCATTTTGATTTGGCGTTGTCTTGGTATAATGATTCTCAAATACGACGTTTTATTTTAATCTTGTACTAGGACTACACATGTAACTCCTGTTACCATTAATGGGACTTCACATCCACTGTGAAGCTCGCATTTAGTGCATACAGCTATTGAGAGGGAATATGTAAGGAAAAGATTTTTTTGAGGTATGGTATCATTCCTCTGGGCTAAATTCAACTCTGGTTTGTTACCTGAAGGCAGTCAGATAATGAATTTTTAACAATAAAATATAGTATAACATGTTCTCATGGACAGCAGGATGTCTAGGGTCCAATGAATGCATGTTTGAGCAACAAATGGGGGCCATATCATCTGATGGTGTGATACGGCATCTCTTCCTTCAACTGAATGGAGTTCTGCCAGGTCACATAATTTAGGATCTGGTTGATAAATGTACAGTGTCCAATAGGATCCACCCCACCTAACTGTGACAGCCCCACAGTTTTAAAATAATGCCTAACACTGAGAAAACAAATAAGGAATTGTAAGGAGAAAATAAAACCGAAAGAAATAGATTAGGCATAATCCAAGAAGAACAACCGATGATAGATTAACGCACATGTAGATCAACATCACCTTTGCATGACAGCATAAAATGGACGACTGTAGATCTGAAGGTTCAGCAAAGAAAAAATTAGTGCACAACAGGAACAAAGACTCATTAATATGAGGAGGTACAAAATTACTACCCTGAGAGTGCCAGAGGTAAGAACAGAAAAAAAGGCATCAGAACTGTATAATGTTATTATTGGAGCAAAGGGCTGCCAAATCTGGTCATAATTATTGAAGTTATTTGAGCTAATGAAAGATAGTTTTGGAGCATGGCCAAAATAGTCTTGGAAAATGGCAGCTTAAAAAAGGCATTCAAGCAGGTTTATAACAACTGTCTATGTGAAAAAGGATAATGCTAAACAGATATAGTGAGTAAGCTCTTAAAAAAAAACCCTTTCTATTTTACCTATTTACCTGAATAGTATACCTGAGTATAACCAATGAAAACCTATACAATTGATTAGAATCATAACTTCTGTCCAGAAGTGTGTGTTTCAAGTGTATTTTCTGAGGTGGACTGCAGAGGGGATAGTCATATGATTTTGGAGGCTTGATATTCCTTTTTCCTTGAAATCTTTCACAACTTTGGACATGTGTGGAGTGTGATTGTGTATGTGACTATAGAGACATTGTACAAAAGTAAAGCTGGCCAAGCAATTAGAATGCATACATGTGCCCCCCACGCAGCGTGCGTGTGTGCGTGCACACGCGCGCGTGTGGTTAATTTGACATTGTTTTATTTATATGGCTGGTCATGCTGCCTAAAGTATTTGTTTCAGGACATCTTCTAAATCCTCTGAACCCATTCCTTTTTTTTCCGTTTTATTTTAAGGACGGACAGAACTTTGTAAACAAATATATTATTCAGAGCAAAGGCAAGGCAGGAATCTTGGGATTCAGAATAGAACTGGGCATCACCAATACAACGTCTAGGCCCATGTGCTTTAGCGTCTGTATACAGATGCTTTCAGAGTTGAATTCCTGAAGGCTGAGCATCTGCCCAGACATATATTTGAAGATTTAGTTCCCATTTTTTCTCTCTCCTTCTGACTCTTCAGCATGCGTTTCAGTGGATCCTTTTTTCTCCTATGTTCCCTTTGGTGTCTGACATGGTTTTCTTCTTGGCCTCCCCTCCTACAAGCTCCCTGAAAGATAATGTCTTCTCATGTGTCTTCAACCACCTCAGCCTTTCTACTGCTTTCTTGTTTATTGGAGGTTACCAACAACTAAAAAAAGGAATATGGCCAAAACTGAATTCCTGAATATTTTATTCCATCAAAGAGCTAGCAGGAGGAATTTCTGTAGAGTTCAAAATCCTTTCTTTATGCCAGACCCTTTGTTGTGCTGGCACACATATACCCTAGCAGGCCAGGCACCATACAAATCTTGGGTCAAATCATAGCTCAAAATCCCTAGTAACTTTTCTTTGAGGCCTAAAAGAACCAGGTCAGAAAGTGATGGCTCTGGTATGTTCTTTCATATTTTCTTGCTGTACTTTACAGTATATATATATATATTTGCATATAACATGCACCTTTCCCCAAAAAGCAGCTGCTGGAAACTGGAGTGCATGTGATATGTGAGAGATACGGTAAGTGCAGGGTCTGCCACTGGTTGCTGAACCCAAAAGTGAAACCTGCAGCAACCTGTAGCAGAACAATAAGCAGGCTCAGCTCCCTTGCTGCTGCTATTCTGTCACTAACTCCAAGGTAAGGTCTTTTTTCCTTCAGTCTGCCTTCCGGGAACAAGATGCTTATATTTCAGTGTGTGTTATATGTGAGAAGATGTGGTATTAAACCCCGCCCCCACCCCAAGCACACCTTCCTTGTCTTTTTGATGATTTGAAGCCATCAAATTATTCAATAGCAAGCTATATATCTGTGCAATTTTATTATGGTTTTTTTTTGGTCTTCCCTCTTCTCCGGCTTGTTTCACTCATACAGTATGGCCTGTTATACATTAAATCATGGGAAATGGCCCTTTGTAACTATTTATGAAGTACGCTAGATATTTATAAAAGTATCCCTGTGGGACTATTATAAAGCAACAACAATTAAGAGCTTGTGATTATAGGCTAAATGGTTGGTAGTTCATTCATATAAAAATGTGGTGTGTGCTTTGTTAAATAGAAGACATCAGTATTACAGAAGAACATTGCCAAGCCATTTAAATGCAACACCAACAGAATGCATGACATTTTGTCACTGGGCTGTTTGTTAAGTACATAGACCTTGCATGCATTGATTTTAGAGGGTGTGTTATAGTCATGTGCTGGTAATAAATTAAGGTATTCTCTCTTTTAAGCTGGTCAACAGGCGAATGGAGCACGTGCAGCAAATCTTGTGGTGGAGGGCAACAAAGTCGCTTGATTCAGTGTGTGCAGAAAAAATCTTTTCAAAAGGAGGAGGTGGTAGCACATTCCCTTTGTCCAGTCAGCACTCCGGCTCAGGTACAGATGTGTAATAACAGAGACTGTCCCCCTGAATGGAGCACTGGACCTTGGTCGCAGGTAAGACTTGCTATGTGTTGTGTGTTAAAATAATAGATATGTTGGCACACGTTCTGATGGCCTAGGTGGCAAGAATGGATTGAATAAAGATTCTGCACTTGGAGCCTGCCTTTTTTCAAAGGTCTGTTTATTATAATACTATGTACAATCGAATTTGTTTTTAGATATCAGCCTTCAAAAAAGAGATCCGAAAGTAAGGCTGATGTACCTACATGCATGAAGTTGTACCTGCTTACACCAATTCTGAATGTGGCTCTTAATCAACCGGGGAAAAGGAACAATGTCTTGGTACAGCCCTATCCCCCAACCTTCATACTTCTGCCCCCCATATACAGGTTTATCTAGTTTTCTGAAACACAAGACTCTATGGTATCTTGAAAGAACAGGCTCCTTACCAGTATATTCAGTATGTCAGAAATATTAACATTTCTCAGAGAAGGAATATCATCAATGATACCATGGAGGACAGAATAATGAGCAAGGATTAGACTTCCACACTAGCAGACATATTCACTTTTTAAGTCCGGGGAAATACAATTCCAATTTCCTGAAGGACATATACAGTAATTGCTTATTTACTTCAGTCTTTGTTTGTGTAGCCCATTCCCAATGAGTAATTTAATTGTTCAGTAAATTATTGTTAGTGGCTTAAGTCAGTAGCGGCATGCCTGCAGGCAGATTCCTCTGTGCACACCCTCTTTCAGAAATGTATGAAAAGCCTGACAAGCTATATGCTTAAGGTAAAAACTCAGCCCTGCTGTTTTTGCAATGCTGTTGATGCTAGCAGATAGTGAATGTTAATTTAAGGGTAAATGGACTGCCACAGGGTCTTTAAATTTAAGGAAGAACTGACACTATGGATGTACATTTAAGGGAACTGATTTCATTTATTGAGCTTCAAGATTGACTGGAATCTATTGTAAAATCTAATATTTGTAAACACAATAAGCATTATAACGCTGCTACTCTGTGAGAGATTAGAAGGGCTGATTTAGGTAGATACAGTTATGAAGGGTATACTTTTCCAATACATATAGGTTAAGTAGACATTCAAAAAGCCTGAACGGGAAGTGATGTATGTTTTGTTTTGTGCTTTACTCTAAGCATCCAAGGTTCGGTCGAGAGCAAACAGAACAGATGTTTGCCCTTTGGTGGGACAGCTGCCAGCCCTAGCTGAAACTAGCAGGTGGGGGGGGGGTGCTCCCGCACACCTCCCAGCAGGCTATCAGAAAATGCCAAGGCCAGCCAAGAAGTGGAGCAGCTGGCCACCCCGGATTGGCCAGCGCAACAGCCCCGCCTCCCCATAGCAGCAGCCAGCTCTAAGTGGTGGTGAGAGGGAGAATGGGGGTCTCTGCCTTGGCCTGAGCCTCCTCAGACCTGAGCCCACACGAACAGTTGGGGGAGGCACACACAACAGAGGTTTCCTCCCTTGCTGCCTGGCCTGGCTGGCCATCATGGTTTTTCTCTGCGGCCCTGGCCCCCTGGCTGGCTGTCAGCAGCAGTGCGGGGGGGGGGTGGAAGGAGAGAGGAGTGGAGACCCCCACCATGTGGGCTCCCTCCAAGCTTTGCTGGCTCAGGTCTGGGAGAACCAGGTCCATGTGGTGTGGGCCTCTGCTCCCCTTCTTCCCCTTGCCACTCCTGACAGCTGGCTATTCATGGGGGGGTCAGAGCTGGGGAGAGGAGCTGTACTGATCAGCTGGGCTAGGAGTAGGGAGGAGGGAAGAAGCCCCCATCTCATGCCCTGCCCCCTCAGCTGTGCTGACTCAGGCCAGGGCTGCATCCAGCTGGGGCTGGCGCCCCCCCGCCCCCAAGCCACTGCTGACAGCTGGCATGGCCCCCAGCCCCACCTCCTGCCTGTGGTCAGCTCTGTGAGAGCCCCCTTGGCCAGAGCAGATGAGCACGGCTGAGGTTAGCACACCACCCTGTAAGAGGGGGTTAGCAGAGGCCAGCAAAGCAGCCTGGGATGCTGGGGACTGTGACCTAACTTGAGCCAGGAGGGAATCTGGTAAAGAAATTTGATAGACTGGTGTTGAAGAAAAGAAATATTCATGTGCAATGTCTGTACCTGGCTGTAAATTCAATAGTTTTGTGCCACTCTAATTCCAGTACACTCTCTCACTCTCTCTCTTTTTCCCATTTTACTTCTTTCAATATTTTAATGGCAGAATTTCAAGGTTACAGGTTTTATAATGGTGGCAACAGAGCAGCTTGTTCCTTGGTTTTATATTCTATTGACAATAGGAAAAAAAGGCTAATTTTAAATTCCCTCAGGTTAAGAGAACATTTCTTTTTGCCACAGTGTTCTAAGACCTGTGGGAGAGGCATTAAGAAACGGGACGTTTACTGCAAAGGCAACAGCTCTTTCAAGGTGAAAATCTTACCGGAGAGTTTGTGCAGCAAAGAACCCAAGCCAGAACCCCAGCAGACCTGCGTGCTAGGACGATGCCCCAAGAACGACCGACTCCAGTGGATGATTTCTTCTTGGAGTGAGGTACACTACCGAAGTCTTAATGACAGCCTGTCTTACCTTGCAAAAGAACGCTGACATGCACAGAGCAAATGAAAGGCAAAAAAATGCTAGGGATTCAAAAAGGGTTAAAATACGAACGCTAACTGAATCATATGTATAGGTTTGTCTGACTTTTAAAACATAATTAGTAATTTTGGGTGCCTCATTTTTCAGGTGCCATCCTTAAAACCATTCAGGGGGCTGATTTTGGAAGTGCTGAGCATGTGAACGTTGAAAATGAGGCCCTGCTGAGGAGTTTTAAGGAGGTCGCTGATAAAAATGAGGCGCTTCACTGCAATTTTGAAATTGTACGCCCGTGTATTGAAATACACTTAGCTGTACCGTGCTATCAGTTTTTATGTCAGACTCCACTCACTTCACAAGAAGTTCCAAAATTGCAGCCTGCACATTATCACGGAAACATTTTTTCAGTTCTTTGATGCATTTCTAACTTCCATTAAAACTTTTATTATCTTAAACAGAAGAGATATCCTTTACTTACATTTTTTTAAATATATTTCTGAGCAGTGCACTTTTCCCCCCCACAGTGTTCAACCTCCTGTGGCCCTGGTGTAAGAAAGCGGGAAATGAAGTGCATTGAGAAAAGCATCCATGGAAAACTGATCACCTTCCCTCAGCGAAGATGTCGGAACATAAAGAAACCAAGCATAGAGCTGGAAGAAACATGTAACAATGGAGCTTGTCCATTGATTACATTATATAGCATGGTGTCTGGATGGTACTCCTCACCCTGGCAACAGGTATGAGGAAATAATCAAGCAGGAGAATAGAGGTCCCCTCTATATATTCTATTACACAATTACCCAGTTATTTTATAGTAAATTTAGATTGGCTACATGTGCAAGTTAACTCTGGCACCTTAGAAGGTCCAACCAGCTATAAAGTTATTGCTAAAAAATGTGTAATAGCTTTATACAGCAAAAGCTGTGTTAACCGGCACTTTATTAGCCAGAAAGCTCTATTAACTGGCATCCGAGGGACGCGGCAAAAGTGAAACCGGAAGTACCACTTCTAGGTTTTGCCGCCGCTGCGAGCAGAGTTCTTGCCACTTCTTCAGCCCATGGCCCAGGGC